CCACCCAAACTGTCCATTGTTGTAGCATGGTTGGAAGACGATTTACTTTAACTGCAGGCGAGTAAAATGATGTGTCACTGGACACTTGAGTAACCTCTACAAGCTCAGTCTCTTTACCTCCAAAACTGAGGATGTTTTACTCTGTGAGTGATTACTGAGCTGTGGTCCACAATGTTGTTGGGGTGTTGGGCTCTGGTGCTCCTCTTCCTCCCCTCCCAGCTTGTGTATTTCAGTTTCTTCCCTCATGTATTTGCACCCCCCACCTCATACACACCTTATGTCTCTAGGAAAGATAAAAGGAATCTTTCAGGGGAAGGATGAGGGATGCCTGGAGCCTTCTCCCTAGACCTCATCCATGGGGGTCCCTTAGGCTTCTAGAACCTGTGGGTCCTCCACATGGTCCCACTGAGCCTCATCTGATCTGTGCACACATCTCATGGCAGCACCGAGGGAGGTGGGAGACACTGGGTATGGCGGAGAGATTGGGTTGTCAGGATTCTTATTCCAATTCCAAAGTCCTTCCCAGCCATTTCTCTTGAGACTCCAAGACTCAAGCCCAACTTCCACCTACTTAAGTGGCAAATATTTGGTGAGAATAAATCGAGATGCCCTGCCCAAGGGGACTTGCAGTCTACCAAGGGGACGAGCCTAACAATGAGCACACAACAGTACAATGGTGTGCATGCTGTAACTGAGGGATGACATCATGAGGGAAGGGCCCCAATAAGGGGGTGGCTGCTGCCTGAGAAAGAGCCAGTCCTGGAGCTTAATGTGGAGGATGGTGAGGTAGGGGGCAGGCACCAGAGGAAGTGCATTCTAGAAGGAACAACCTGCGAAGACATGAGCTCCTGAAAAGAGGTGGTGCATTTCGAGGACACTGAGAAGCTCCAAGGGGCCCCAGCAGAGGACAGAGAGTGGAAAAGTGAGATGGGCTTGTGGTGGGCTGTAGCCGCTCTGAGGACCTTTGCGTTTATCTAAAAGGCTTTATCAGGAAAATCATCCAGTTGTTTTCTAACCTTGTTCTTATTTAAATTATGACATGAAACCTCTACCAACTCTCACCCACAACCCTCAACCTGTAGCACATGAGCAAGAATATACATGTTATGGTAATGGTTGCGTGTACAGCTGTGTTAGCTCTTTGTGTTTTGGTTCATGTCTTCGTGTGTATTTCCCCCATATATTCTTCCCATTTTCCTTTAAAAGTCCACCAGAGGGCCGGGCGCGGTGGCTCAAGCCTGTAATCCCAGCACTTTGGGAGGCTGAGACGGGCGGATCACAAGGTCAGGAGATCGAGACCATCCTGGCCAACACGGTGAAACCCCGTCTCTACTAAAAAATACAAAAAACTAGCTAGGCGAGGTGGCGGGCGTCTGTAGTCCCAGCTACTCGGGAGGCTGAGGCAGGAGAATGGTGTAAACCCGGGAGGCGGAGCTTGCAGTGAGCTGAGATCCGGCCACTGCACTCCAGCCTGGGCGACAGAGCGAGACTCCGTCTCAAAAAAATAAATAAATAAAAAAAATAAAAAAAATAAAAGCCTACCAGAGTTTAGCCTGGTCCTTTTCACCTGCCTTTTGAGACAAGGTCTTGCTCTGCTTTCCAGACTGGACTGCAGTCATGCAATAACTCACTGCAGCCTCAACCTCCTGGGCTTTAATGATCATCCTGCTTCAGTCTCCTGGGTAGTTGGGACCACAGGTGTGTACAACCACACCAGGGTAATTTTTAAATTTTTTGTAGAGACAGGGTCTCACTTTGTTGCCCAGGCTGGTCTTGAACTCCTGGGCTCAAGCAATCCACCTGCCTTGGCCTCACAAGGTGCTAGGATTATAGGTGTGAGCCACCATGTTCAGCCTTCACCGGCATTTTTTAATTCAATGAAAAAGATGCAACTATTATTATTATTAACTCGAAGACTTTTAATCCTTTCCTCTGCTGACACTCAAAGCTTCCTTTTATACATCTGTGAAGAGCAGGATGTTCCATGCATGTGCATGTGCATGCATGTGTGTGTGTGTATCCTCTCATGACATAATGTATACTACATAATACTTATTGTATTCCTGACTGCGAATTAAGGATTTCTTTTTGTCAAAGTGTTATAAAATTAACAAACATTATAATAAACTAAGACGGAGAAGCTTTCAAATAGAAGTAGCTCTAGTAAAACTCATTGAAATCCTTCTGAGTTCCTTGAATGCCAATTTTTTTTGTTTTTGTTTTTGAGATGGAGTTTGCTGTTGCCCAGGCTGGAGTGCAAGGGCACCATCTCGGCTCACTGCAACCTCTGCCTCCTGGGTTCAAGTGATCCTCTCACCTCAGCCTCCCAAGTAGCTGGGACTACAGGCACATGCCTCCACTCCCGGCTACTTTTTGTATTTTTAGTAGAGGCAGGGTTTGACTATGTTGGCCAGGTTGGTCTTGAACGCCTGAGCTCAAGTGATCCACCCACCTCAGCCTCCCAAAGTGCTGGGATTACAGGTGTGAGCCGCCATGCTGGACCGAATGCCAGTTTTTGAAAGGCTTAAACTTGTTTAAAATCTTGTTACCATGGATATCTTTGCCACAATGGAGAAAAATCACAGCACAAAAACAGGGATTATTAGAAGAGAAGGACAAACTGTGTCTCTATCAAAGTTACATGCACGACCAAGTTTCCCACCCCAAGGACAGTACAGCTGTAACTATTACCCAGTGAGCAAGACAGAGAAGATAAAACAAGAGACATGCTGAGTCACACATGCCACAAGCCCCCCCAAAGTCAAGCACTCCATACCCGGCAGGCCACACTCACATAGAGCTCTAGCACGGCCTTGGGACTCGGCCTGAGGGAGGGCAGGTCACTGAAGGAGCGGCTGCGGTGCAGCTTGGCAAAGAAAGTGTCTTGCAAGGCACTCAAGACAGACAGCCGCCTTGGCTTGTCTGGGGAAGGATGCAGCCACCTCTTCAGAAGTGAAAGCAAGATGGGGGAGTTAGTGGGAAGAATCAGGTTACTATGTTTTGTTAGCTTTTTAGCGAGCATTTTTGATTAAAACAAGCGGCTATTATTTATATCAACTTCTTTAAAAGGCTGATCTTAGAGAATGTTCAGAAAAATCTACATGTTAGCATCACAGCAATAGGTAAGGTGGGCAAGGAGAGAGGAAAAACAGGAGGCTTACCACCTCTGATAGAATTACTGAGAACTCCCAGCACTGTCTCTCAAGCATTTCAAATGCTGGGTGCAAGCACTGGCTCAGGTGCATTGATTCTACTCGGGAAATTACACTGAACTTACAAAGAAGGAGTGGTCTTTGAAGGTGGGCGTTTCCGGGGTACCCTGGCTGTACATGGACATTCTCCTCTGAAGGGCTGCCGCCTTGTTCCCAGCGCCTGAGGATGCGGTCATGTCCTCCACGTCAAATGGACTGCAAAACAACAGGACCCCATGTATGCACATTTGGTAAAATCACCTATCATCAACAGACCACAGGCTGAGAGAGTACCTCATTACATAAAAGTAAACTCAACCTGTGGGAACTGGGCTGGTTTTAGCTAAACTGGTTTGCAGAAAATAAACCTGGATAAAAGAAAAGTGGAGCAGAAAACTGAGTCTAGACTCACCCAAGGGACCCCAGAATATTATCACAGCTCTAAGCACAATTTATCTATACACTTAGATACACCCGTTCCTCACTAACATTAGAAACACAAACTTATGAATGCTTGCTTCGACAAAACAAGATGTTGAAAAGTCTATAAAAATTATCTGAACTTTGTGGGGCTAGATACCTTAATGGTATAAGACATCGACAGACTATTGTTCTGTTCTAAAGAAAACACTCAAAAATAGAATCCCATTCATTTCAGTTGACACAGAGCCTCTTGCGTGGGAAGAGAATAACAGTCTGTTCACCATGATGCCACTTAATATCATGGCACCTGATTCATCCAGCAAGAAGAATGATCTTGCATGTGAGACGTCAATGACTGCAGATTGTGGGGAGGGAAGGGCTGGGTAACGCGTGCTGATGATGACGAGGCAAGAGTGTCTTTGCTGCTTCCACACCTGGCTTTCTATATTGTAAATGAGACCCTGAGTATGAATACTTAACATGTCAACTCAGCAATATACCAGGGGCATTACATTAAATATTGTGAACTACTATTGGGGGTTTCTTTTTGTTTTGTTTTGTTTTTTTTTTTTTGAGATGGAGTTTCCCTCTTGTTGCCCAGGCTGGAGTGCAATGGCACGATCTCAGCTCACTGCAACCTCTGCCTCCCGGTTCAAGCGATTCTCTTGCCTCAGCCGCCCAAGTAGCTGGCATTACAGGTGCCTGCCACAATGCCCGGCTAATTTTTGTATTTTTAGTAGAGACGGGGTTTCGCTATATTGGCCGGGCTCGTCTCGAACTCCTGACCTCAGGTGATCCACCTTCCTTGGCCTCCCAAAGTGCTGGGATTACAGGTGTGACCCATCGTGCCCGGTGCTACTGGTGTTAATAACTTATCATGACCTTTCTCACTGGGTGACTTTGGAAAACCATTTCTAAGTTCATTGTTTTGAAAAAAGATATCTCTTGCCCTTTGGGGATGTTCTATTTCAGTAAATACAGTGCAGAGGAACTAAGGATACTCATAATTTTCCAGAGCAGCATGAAGTTATGCGATAAAGAGGAATAAGCATTTAAAGCATCATAGTGAGAATCAGGATTTTTCTGAGGTCAAAGTACCTCCTATTGGACAGATATTTTCTTTCAAATTAGTTTACTTGAGAGGACATATTCTCTTATATATTGAAAGGTAGAGAGGGAAGGAAGGTGACAGAAAAAATATTTTAAAATAGAAAGTAGAAAAGGCGATTGGTGATATGATCCAGGCTTCTCCAACTTTAACACGCGTGCACCTCACCCGGGGAGTTTGTTAAACAGATTCTGGGGCCTGAGCAATCCTGCCACAGTAGTTCTGGGGTGGGGCCCAAGATTCTGCTTTTTTAACAAGCTCCCTGGTGATGCAGATGGTCCATGCACCAGCTTTGAATAGCACTAGCCCGTATCAGATATTCCTATATGAAGAGATAAAAGAGGAAGAGGCACTTACTACCAGGTGATTTCCAGGTTCAGTTTGATGGTGCCAAGGTCATTGATGTCGACAGCCACCACCTGAGGTCGGGCTGCAAACAGCTCTTTGGTCTCACAGGTCACGCTACCTACCAGGATGTGAGTTGCCAGCCCTTTGAGCTCTGTGACCTAGCAGAGAGAGTGGGAGGGGAAAGGCCTCACATCACAGCAGAGGAGAAAGGTAGGATAATGTGTCATTTTTTTTTACTGAGCTAGGTTGGTCATTTCTTTCAGAATCATATCTGAAATTGGAAGTGGATTTTGTTTTTTTCTTTTTGGAGACAGGGTCTCTCTCTGTCACCCCGGCTATAGTGCAGTAGTGTGATCATGGCTCACTGCAGCCTTGACCTCCTGGGCTCAGGTGATCCTCCCACCTCAGACTCCCAAGTAGCTGGGACTACAGGCACACGTACCACATCTGGCTAATTTTTGTACTTTTGTAGAGATGGGGTTTTGCCATGTTGGCCAGGCTGGTCTCCAACTCCTGGGCTCACGTGATCCACCCACCTCAGCCTCCCAAAGTGCTGGGATTACAGGTGTGAGCCACTACACTATGCCTGGCCAGAGATGGATATTTCAAAAGTGTATCTTAGATTGACTTTACCTATTCTGATGTGAGAGCAACAGTCTTTGTAATGGACTTGTAGTGCAGAGAAGTCCGTGGGATGGAGGGGTGACAGGCAGGGGTCACGGGTAAAGGCCCCACCAATAGATCATCCAACTGTGGCACCATGAAAGACAACAGGCAATGACAATACTGTACCTTGATGGAGATGAACCCAACTATCAGGGGCAGAAAAACTGTTTCTTCTCCGTCCCAGCTCTGCTTGCCATTTACTTCTATTTTGCCTTTCAGTTTCCACCGCTGCCGGCCATACTTCATGAAAATCTGGAGAGGAGACATCCAAGGGCCTTCATGTCTTGCCATGCCCCCTTCTCCACCAGAACACCAAGATCAAAAGGAGACAGAACTAACGCCACTGCCGCCCTCCCCTTCTCCCTCACTCTCCCTCCACCCCCTTACTCTTGGGTGTGGGTGGAGCTAGGGATGAGTGGGGAAGAGACTTTTTTTCTTTTCTTTTGAGATGGAGTCTCGCTCTGTTGCCCAGGCTGGAGTGCAATGACATGATCTTGGCTCACCGCAACCTCCGCCTCCAGGGTTCAAGCGATTCTCCTGCCTCAGCCTCCCAAGTAGCTGGGACTACAAGCATGTGCCACCATGCCCAGCTCATTTTTGTATTTTTAGTAGAGACGAGGTTTCACCATGTTGGCTAGGCTGGTATCTCGAACTCCTGACCTCAGGTGATCTACTTGCCTTGGCCTCCTAAAGTGCTAGGATTACAGGCAACAGCCACCATGCCTGGCCCGAGACTTTTAAAGCACAGTAAGTTCTGCCTGTCTGAGACACAGGGGGTACAGGTTTTCTGTAGTAAAAGGTCACTGCATGGTGCCCTTCTGCTCACTCATACCAAGCAGTTCTCTCTCTTGTTAGTTCTGCTTGAATAGAGCAGCCACTGGGATTAATTCTTCACATAACCCAGCTCCTTTAGCGAGAGGAGTAAGTATCAGCTAAAACCCTCTTAAGCAAGAAATAAAGACATCCTTATTCTGGATAGGGAGATGGAGCTGGCAAGAACTTTGAAATCCAACGTACTCTTGGGGGAAGGTTTGCAATATTTCCTTGGTCAGACTGCTTTAATGTTTAAGGGAAGATATACCCTCACCCCTGCTTTAAGAGGTATGAGTACAGAGGATTTTGGAGGAGATGTCAGATGAAATGGTTATGTAAGTTTCCTTTTGAAGAGGGAAAGGAACAAAGCCTATTTTTACTTTTTGGAGCACATTTTTACAAAGAAAGATCTAGATGTTATTTTTCTTCAGTCATGGTACTTATGATCAGCCATGATCCTGGATTGGCTCTTGGATCAGGAAAAAAAAAAAAACAAACCCTGCTTACCTAGTACAATATTGGAACATCTGGCAAAATATGAACATAGACTAATTCCAGGTGACGTTAGCTGAAGAGCCAATCTTAAACTCACTGGTGTTGAGGGCTTAGTAATGCCTATGTGAGAGAATGTCCTTCCATTCTTAGAAGAAGAATTTAGGGATAAAGAGTCCTGGTGTTTGCATCTTGCTCTAAAATGGTTCAGGGGCCAGGCACGGTGGCTCACACCTGTAATCCCAGCTCTTTGGGAGGCCAAGGCGGGGGGATCGCTTGAGGTCAGGAGTTTGAGACCAGCCTGGCCAACATGGTAAAACCCCATCTCTACTAAAAACACACAAAAAATTAGCCGGGTGTGGTGGCGGGCGCCTGTAGTTCCAGCTACTCTGGAGGCTGAGGCAGGAGAATCGCTTGAACCCAGGAGGCAGAGGTTGCAGTAAGTTGAGATCATGCCACTGCACTCCAGCCTGGGCAACAGAGTGAGACTCCATCTCAAAAATAAATAAATAAAAATAAATAAAATGGTTCAGCAAAATAATAGTAACAATGACAGCAATAATGATGATGACAGAGCAAATGTGGCATAATGTTACAAAGTGGTGAATCTAGATGAAGGGTTTATGGGAAGTCCTGTACCCGTTTCCAGACTTTCTCATTGGCTTAAAATGTTTTTCAAAATGAAAAATTAAAAAAAAAAAAAGACAACTTGAGAAGCAAAATGACATGACAACTGGCCCCTACCCTTCAGGTCCGTAATTCCAGCACCTAGACCAAGACAATACTTACTTCATATTGATCTCCAGGACAGAGGCGCGCAAATCCAGCCAGACCTGGAACCAAGCAATTGGAAAGTGAGGTGTAGAACATTATTTCCCCTCTCTATAGACACATACTGGCATGTTGAAAAGAATTCAGGTGAAGTGTCAGAACTTTGTGCAAACTCACATAACACTTTTTGGGGCCATTCCTGGGGAACAACTGTTTGGGGGGAGTTCCTTCTATCACAGGTAAAGAAGACATTCCTGGATGAAGTGATGGAAGAGGTGGTTTCCAAGGTAGGGGAGGCTGGGCAAGAGGGGGAGCTAGAGCTCAGTACATCTTGGGCTGATTTAAGATCCAAGCAGATTCCAGGGTTAGGGTATTAGGGCCAGAAAGATTTATTTATTTATCCAACATATTCCCATGAAGATAATCTGGTCTCCTATTTTCCCTTCTGTCCTAAAATGTGTAATTTTTAGGTGCCTCCCATTTGAGTTAAGATTCCATGCAGTTATTTCCCTTGCTGCCCTCCAATTTACTCATTCTGATGTTTTCTTTATCCTTTTTATCTGGTATAATCATACAATTTGCTGTTATGAAATCCCTGAAAATGGATTATTACTTACACAAAGCTAGTGATTAAGAAAACAAAATCAATCCAACCAACCAAATGATACACCCCCAAAAGAAAGATGGGACTTCTACTGTGCCATCCAGCAAGTCATGTCTAACTGGATCTGCTCAATTTGAGATCTCTCTCTGGTGCAGCAGCAAAAACAAATCTTATCAGACTAGATGGTCACCATCTGAGGCCATCTCAGGATACTGGGTTTGTCCAGTCTTTTTCTTTCCTTTTGTAGATATTTACTGAGAGTCTGCTGTATGTAAGGGTCTATGCTAGGCATTGGGGTAATAATTTGGAAATTAAAGATTATATGGATCCCCATGATATAGAACAAAATATGGTTAAAGCCCACAGAAATGAAACAGACAAAGACTTGCAGACAGTAAGATGGAGTTACACCTGAGGTTAATTTGTTTGTCTACTGGCTATCCTACTCTAGAAAATTTACTTAACCCAAGTTTCTTCACCTTTAAAATAGGATAACAGTGTCCACTTCATAGAATTGTTTGTAACAACAACAGATGGCATCTTACACATAGTAGGTCCTTAATACGTGGTAATGATGATATATCCAAGAGTGGGATAATACTATTTATTGAGTACACGCCATCTACTATTTAATGAAAGATGTAATCTATATGAAAAGACACAAGGCTGGCATATTGGCTCCCTCCTATAATCCTAGCACTTTGGGAGGCCAAGGCAGGAGGATGACTTGAGCTCAGGAGTTCAAGACAAGCCTGGGCAACATAGTGAGACCTCATCTCTACTAAAAAGAAAAAAAAATTAGCCAGGTGTGGTGGTGCATGTCTGCAGTCCCAGCTGCTCGGAGGCTGAGGTGGGAGGATCGCTTGAGCCCAGGAGGTCTAGGCTATAGTGAGCCGTGATTACACTACCGCACTCCAGCCTCGGTAACAGAGTAAGACTCTGTCTCAAAAAGGAAAGAGAAGAGAAGAGAAGAGAAAAGAAAACACACAGTAAACTGATATGCATCAGGGAGGGAAACAGCAGTGGAGAGACAGAAGGAGATCTTTGCTTTTTTCTGTATTTTTATGAGAATGTATTACTGTATAATTAAAATGAAAAAAACAGAGACTATCTTATTTAATGTAGAATAGGTTCATAGAAGAAAGCAGCATTTGAATAACAAAGTTTCACCACAGTAAAATGAGGACATGGCTGTACAGATACTTCCAGGCTGAGTGAATGACATGTGTGTATTCAACAATGTTTCTTGAATGTCTACTGTGTCAAGCATGAATAAAGGTGTGAGGAGGAAGGTGTGCTAGTCACATGTGCATAGCAAATGAGGAAACTAATCTCATCAACAGAGGCTTGTCAGTGACCCAGCTTTACTTTAATCAGTTGTTTCTGGCTTTAGTCAGCTGTTAAGTTGTTTTCGTGCCAATCACAAAGCAAAGCCCTTTACGTTCATTGGGGCCTAAAGACTAAAAGTTTTATTCAAGGAACCAAACAAATTTAATAAAAATGGGTAAAAATCTTTATCCTTTAAAAATTTTTTGAAGGAAAAAAATAAAGTCTTATAAGATTTCCAGTTAAGAATTCAGTACAGGCTGGATGTGGTAGCTCACGCCTGTAATCCCAGCACTTTAGGAGGCTGAGGTGGGCAGATCACCTGAGGTCAGGAGTTCCAGGTCAGCCTGGCCAACATGGAGAAACCCTGTCTCTACTAAAAATACAAAAACTAGCCTGGCGGGGTGGTGCTCGCCTGTAATCCTAGCTTTTCAGGGGCTGAGGCAGGAGAATCGCTTGAACCCTGGAGGCAGAGGTTGCAGTGAGCAGAGATCACGCCACTGCACTCAAGCCTGCATGACAGAGCGAGACTCTATCTCAGAAAAAATCCAAAAAAACAAGCAAAGAATTCAGTACAAATATTTGTAGTGAACTTTTAGTTAAAGGCAAGATTTATAATGTAATACTAAGTATAAAAAGAAAAAAGGTAGCTGGGTGCGGTGGCTCACACCTGTAATCCCAGCACTTTAGGAGGCTGAGGTGGGCAGATCACCTGAGGTCAGGAGTTCCAGGTCAGCCTGGCCAACATGGAGAAACCCTGTCTCTACTAAAAATACAAAAACTAGCCTGGCGGGGTGGTGCTCGCCTGTAATCCTAGCTTTTCAGGGGCTGAGGCAGGAGAATCGCTTGAACCCTGGAGGCAGAGGTTGCAGTGAGCAGAGATCACGCCACTGCACTCAAGCCTGCATGACAGAGCGAGACTCTATCTCAGAAAAAAAAAAAAAAAAAAAAAAAAAAAAAAAAAAAAAAAAGGAGGACACAAAGCCTTACATAGAGTATAACCTCGGCTATATATAAATGGATCCCCGGGGAAGAAAGTCTAGAAAACCATACCAAACTGTTAAAAAATAATGATCTCTGGTAGGGTAGAATTAAGGAGAAAGTTAAATTTTTGTCATTAAGTGATAATTTTTATTTGATTTTTAAAAAGATCATATACTTATTTTGTAATACAGAAAAAAGATGTAAAAAAGATCACACACCTTGGCAGGCAGTGTGTACACACAGAAAAGTTGGTTGGATATTTTAATAATTTTAATAAAGCTTAGCACTGGGTAGAACGATTATATATGATTTTAATTTTTTGGTTATATTTCTCAATGTTTTAAAAAAACAAGAAGGTACTACTTTCAAAGTGTTTACGTCAAGATTGAAGAAGACACGAACAGTTCCTCCCTGTTTACCCAGTGACTTTTTTAGAGGCAGTCCGAGGAAATAATTTTGATGAGCTGGTCCAGAAACAGCTGTGAGTCCTAGACTGTTCCCACACAAAGATGTCCATATGACAAATGGGTCCCTTAGTACCTCAGCCTCCTTGAGTTGCTATTTATAACCTTTGCCATTTATAACACTATTTATAACACAAAGGTTGTTTATATATTTATTTAAACCTGATTTTACCCATATAAAGATGCTGTGGGTGGTATCACACAATGTGTTTTGCCTTCTATGAATAGCCCTGTTAGTACGCTGGAGATTCTTGGCCAGGCATGGTGGCTCACACCTGTGATCCCAGTGCTCTGGGACATCAAGGCAGTAGTATCACTTGAGCCCAGGAGTTTGAGACCAACCTGGGCAACATAGTGAGACCCTATCTCTACAAAAAATTTAAAAATTAGCCAGTTATGGTGGCGTGCGCCCATGGTCCCAGTTACTCAGGAGGTTGAGGCAGGAGGATTGCTTGAGGTTAGGAGTTTGAGGCAGCAGGGAGCCACTGAACTCCACCAGCCTGTGTGACAGAGCGAGACCCTCGACTCAAAAAACAAAACAAAGCAAAAAACCCAATTAAGTTGAGAGTCTTAAATGAATGATTCTACTTTCACCTGACTGATGGACGTTGCATGGGTAAGCTGACAGCAAAAAAGGTCCCCGGATGCTTAAAAAAAAAAAAAAGCACGTGCTGTTACCATCACTTGTCAGTAGGTGGCAGCAACTCACCAGCTCGTCCGTGCCTTCCTGCCCGTGGAGCCAGTACATTTAAGAACAGCTTTCACTAATAATTAGAACACAACAAGTCACTTAAAAAGACTTACTGAAATAAGAGCAGAATTGAAGAAGCCTGTATTCCACTAATAATTTTCTGGAGCATTTAGTTAGTCTTTTAAAAAATACTTCTGAAAGAAAGTACAATCGACTGGCTTTTGTAAATCCTAAACTGGACATGCTAATTCTAATACAATCCAAAGTACTCTTTAAAAACCTCTGCAAATTGGCCGGGCGTGGTGGCTCACACCAAGAGAAAAGAAAACACACAGTAAACTGATATGC